ACCTGATCTTCTCCCTTGTTCTTCTCTAAGTAGAGAGAGAGAGACCTAGGTAGTGACCATTTTCCTGTCTGCTGTACAGTTGGCATACCAGTGGACTAGGCCATAGAACTGATACCACAAAGGTGGAAATTATATTCTGCTGACTGGGCCAAGTTCATATCAACTCTAGCCAACAACAATCCACTGGATCAAAGTGAGCAGTCAGCTGAGTCTATGTGCACGCAGCTAACAGAACACATAATCTCCGCAGCACTTGGAGCCATACCGTGCTCAAGTGGGGTTCGTCACTTCTGATTCTCCACACCATTGTGGGATGCGGAATGTGCGGAGGCAGTCTCAGAGAGAAGGCAAGCAAAAACCAGACTTTGGCGGTCACCCTCTGCATCCAACCTTATTGAGTTCGAACGTCTTGAAGCCAGGGCACGCTGGGTTAAGATACAAAAACAGAAGGCTAGCTGGGAGCAATTTGTTAGCACTGTATCTGCCACTACTACCACAAAAGCAACTTGGTCAAAGATTCGGAGCATACAAGGCAAAAGCTTTCCTTACATGCCTAGTCCACCTCTCTCAAACATTCCCATGTCAGATGATTTTGGGAAAGCATCTGCATTCAGTCAGCTCTGGTTTACAATGCTCCAGTTCCACCCCCAGCTGTCAGGGCAGCAAGCACATGTTTATCCCAACTCACTAGATTTGACTCTGAGCCTTTCACACCAGACGAGCTGGACATGGCCATCCAGGCTCTGAGGAATACTGCTCCAGGACATGACCAGGTAATGAATGTATTTCTTAAAAAGCTGCCATCCATAGTTAAACATGAACTTTTGGATATATTTAACAAATGCTCGAGCTCCGGAACAGTGCTGGAAAGTTGGAAGCAGGGCATCACTTGCCCAGTTTTGAAGCCTGGGGAAGACCCAACCCTGCCAAATAGTTACTGCCTCATCACCCTCCTTCCCTGCATAGGGAAATTAATGGAGCGCCTAGTTCTTTGTAGACTTGAATATTTTCTTGAAAGAAATAACCTGTTACCATCTTTACATTTTGGATTTCGAAGAGGACGTTGCACTCTAGACGCACTGCACTTGTTGAAGAATGAAATAAGAGGAGCAGTGAAGCAATGCAACTACTGTATAGTAGTGTACCTGGACTTCCAAGCAGCCTTTGACAGTGTCTGGCATCAAGGCTTGCTATTTAAATTGAGTGAACTGGAGGTCCCTGAGCAACTCTTAGTCTGGCTTTTGAAATATCTTGAAGATCGTACAACCAGAGTTAGAGTTGGAGCTGCACTGTCAGAGCCTAGGCCTGTGCAAATTGGAGTACCACAGGGTGCGGTGTTGTCCCCTGCTCTGTTCAACATAATGCTCTCCGATGTTCCCACATCTACTACTGTGCGTCTCATAGGTTATGCTGATGACCTGACATTGGTAGCATCAGCTGATTCCCTGCAGTCTGCTCAAAGGAATATGCAGGAGTACCTCATACAGTTTAAATTGTGGTGCAACAGGTGGCATTTCATCCTTAACCCTGACAAGTGCAAGTATCAAACATACACTCAAGAAGCCGCAACTTGTCACAGATTGTCCTCCGAATGTGTGGGCAACCCATTACACTCTCCCAGGAAAAGTGGGTATTGGGGGTGATCTTTGATTGCCCTAAATTGAATTTTGCTGCTCACGTTTCAGCAGTTTGTGCTGACTGCCAGAAGCGTCTGAACATTCTTCGAGCTTTGAGTGCCCTAAAATGGGGTGCTTCTGGCCATCTACTAAGGCGTGTTTATGTGGCATTTATACGCAGCAAACTAGAGTATGGCAGCAGTGTCATGGGCGAACTTCCTTCTTCCAGCATGAAAGTGCTGGACAGTGTTCAAAACAGTGCACTCCCCCTCATATTGGGAGCTCGTCATATCTCGCCAATTGCATCCTTGGAAGTAGAAAGCTTCCTACCACCACTTAGTCTCTGTTTCTGTTTCCTGTTGAGGTGGAGTGTTTGAGGTGGAGGTGTTCGTTATGCTTACTCTCCCATTGAAGCAAAAATTCCAAGCCTTCTGGGATTCACTCCCAATGGTGCTCAAGACAACCCACAGCCATTTGCTACCCATGTGCATTTCTTGTTTAGGTCCATGGGAATTGCCATGCCTTGACAGGTGAGGACTTCTTCCTTCTCACCAATTCCTCCCTGGGTCTCGTTACAAAACCAGATATGCCTTGACCCCGGTGCCGGCCCAACATTGCCTCGTGGAGATACCCATTTCTCAACCATTCTTGCTTACAGGATGGATAAGTATTATTCTAGACATATCCCTATCTATACTGACTGGTGTCTTTTTTATCTTCTGCTGGTGTCTACGTTCCCCAGCTTTCAGCTACCACTGCCTGGCTGCTGTCCCCAGGTCACTCAGTAATGGGTGCAGAGTTGTATGCCATATCCAAGGCTCTGGAAATGGCTCTCAATCATGTTGAATTGAAAAACCACCAAGTTGTGATTTTTACTGACTCCAAATCATCTCTGCACTTGATCCTCAACACCTGACGACCAAACTACTCCGCAATGGTTTTCAAGATACACTCACTTCTTCTCCAGAGAGGAGTGAACACAGTTGCCTTTTGCTGGGTGAGGGGTCATAGTGGGGTTGCTGATTGGATAGCAAACCTAGCACACAGTGCTGACAGGTCCTCCTGCTCTATACTCTCTTTTGAGGAGTCTCTTCGAGTGTTAACACTGGCCTTCAGCAGACATTGGCATGGATACTGTCAAACACAAATAGCTAACACTGGTTGTGGTCAATTTAGATACAACCTTGATGATAGCATTACTTACATTGATTACAGCTCCTTGCCTAGACCACTACAATGTGCTATAGCTTGGCTACGCATTGGGCATGCCGGTGTAGGTGCTCACCGTGCAAGATTTGGGATGGCAACAACTGGATTTTGCTCAGTGTGCCATGTGGGAGACACAATAGATCATTTCATATCAAGTTGTACTAAGTTCACTGGCCCAAGAGCACTATTCATGAGTGCGGTGACTGCACTGGGACTTCCTTGGGGTCTGCAAGCTGCCCTGGGTGCGGGTGTCACCAGCAAGCAGCGTCATCAAATTTTCTCATACCTGCGGCAATACTTGCAGCAATGTGGAGTGATTGCTCAGATGTAACTTGTAATCAATAATTGATATCACTGATGCCTGATCCCTGATATTAAGTCAAACCTTGTTTGTTTTTATTTATTTAGTATTATTATAAATTTGTATTTTTTTTTCACTGACTTCAATCTTGCATGTCTACATAACTTCTACTGGTTGGTCTAGTTATGCATGCAGCACCATGATGTAATGATGCTACTCTGCACGTTGCTGCAAAGAGGCATGTTGCCCCTTCTTGCATGAGATGAGCCTGCGTGTCTTTGAAGGCGCGGTTATTTTTTTCCTTTTTTTACATTCTGAAGCATGTGACAAGTGTCCGGTGCTTGTTGATGACACTTTCTTGCCTGGAGTGCTCTGGCTTGTGGCTGGGCCCAAGCTTTCTCCTCTTGCACCCAACTAATGACTAAGATCAGGCTGGGCAGTGCATTAGCACTCGAAGCCTTAAAATTCAAATCATCATCATCACTCAGCAGTCTGTAGGCAAGTTCGCACTTTGCAGTCGTTTACCACACTCTAAAGTCTTAGCTTTACTTGACTTAGGTGCGTCCCTTTATAATTGATAGCTGGAAGTGTGTGAAATGAAATTTGTTTGTGGTTTTAACCATAAATCTTGCTATTTGAGTTTCTATTATAGTACACAATACAACAAGAACAAGTGAACAACGTTTGACTTTGAAGCCTATTGTGGTTCGTTGTTTAAACTTTAAAACAATAACCTATTTTAAAAATATGCTCCCTTAGTTATTAGTGCCTGGTTAGAATAGAATTAAAAAATATGGAGGAATTCTTGGTATTGGTTTTGACATAAGTAGCTCTGGGCCTCTGGCAAATGCAATTTAACTACCTACCAGGCTACCTACTAACCTACCTAGCCTAGGGTTAGCTAATGGCATGCTAACTTATAAAAAATCACAATTACTATTTACTTTAGCTATCAAATATTTCACATTTGACAAGTTCACCATAGGCTACCAACCAGCAACTACTGGGCACAGCGCACAGGCCACAGCTGTACAGCATTTGTGTTACTAGAATTTTAGCCTTCAAAAGAAGCAATCTATGTATTTTTGTTATCAAAACTGCACCATAACTTTCTATCATTATTGATAAAGTTTTTCAGTTATGAAGTGAGCTTACTAGTAATCCAGTATAATATTCACATTATACATACCGGTACATGTTTTTTATTTATTAGTAGCAACTAGGAACTAGCAAGCTAAGTGCAGTTGCTGCTAAGCCAAAGTGACAAGTGGCAACTTGTGTATCTTTGATGATAAATTAAATAATTTTTGTTTTATAGTAAAATAATTTGGCTTCAAATTTACAAAAATTGAAAAAAATTCATGATTAATTATTTATAATAATAGCAAAAAAGTAAAAATAAATTTATCATCAAATGTACATATATTTTTGGCATTTACCAATGGTCTAAAAGAGTTTTGGTAGGAATTAAAATAAACTGGCAATCTTTTATACTAGACATTTTTAAAAATTATAACTCAGTACTCACTGCAGTCAGCAGTGAGTGACAGAGAGCGCAATTTCTTGTCAACAAAAATGTTAAGTCATGGACGGATAGAAGGATGTACACGACAAGCACAATAGGGCATTTTTTCCATAAATGAGAACATGTGCTAAAAAGATTTGAATTAAAATTTTAATGACTTTTAAGAAAATACAATAACATTCTGGATTGTTGTTCTAGTCAGACATAATATTTTTATATACTGGTATAAGCTTATAAATTATTTTCACTTTTTATTATTTTTAATTTTTATCTGATGATTGGGGCACAGGATCATTTTTGTTAACTAAAATAATCTTGACTAATGTTTGATACTTGTATATTTCCCCAGAATTTTCAAAACGTTGGTGATGGCTTTATGTAGGAAAATTTTATCTCTTGGCAGCCCCATGCGCCAGCTGGTCTTAAGGTGAGTGTCGAATTTATTGCAGATTGCATCAATATTAAGGTTTTAATAATATTTATATATTACATTAATGATAGCACTGCTAGAGAGCTAATCTTAAATTAATTATGGATACTACCAATATCATTCGGCAGTTATCATTACAATCTTAAAGAAGCTACCGTACAAGTGTTACAAGAAATAACTATAAAACCTCATTTGTCACTGTATTTGTATTATTATTATTGTACTAGTTTTGTTATTTGAAGGTAAATGTTATCAATTGATTTATGCTGATAACAATGAACTAAGTCATTGTTATACCTAGGTATGCATTGAAGTTCCTAGCCCCAGTTTATGTTTTTTTGTTGAGCATTCAATTGCTATGTGCAGGTATAAGATCTGATTGCATGTTAATTCAATTATAAAATAATTGTTTGTGGACTTTGCTGGAAAATCAATTTTTATTTTTTTTTAAAGCTGAAAATTACTATTTTTTTCATTTGAGTTGTTGTGGCCTTAGCATCACAGATGCAGCCAAGGCTGTAGAAGATGCATGACCACTGCTTTGTTTCTGCAAAGATTTAAAGGATAATGGGTTATTGCCTTGTCTGGTGGTATGAGCTTTAATTAATTTAATTTTTGTTGTTTCTTTTATCTTTAGTGAATACATTTGTGTGTTTATTGACAGCAGTGAGAGATGTCTCTCAGTCTCAACTACTCACCATATTGACAACCTCAACAAGAAGCAAGTGGAGCCAAAAGGTGTAGAGGCTCTTAACCCTGTGGAGAAGAACCTCACCATCACTGTTGAAGGACTGGTGAGGTTTTAGCTTGAAAAGCTTGTATTTATGCTGACAATATTTTAATTGTGTTGCAAATTTTTTCTTAATAGATTTGATTTTTTAATTTACAAGGTATAGAAAAGTATGCTGGATATGATTCCTTACAATATGTATAGCATTCTCATAAAAGGCAGCTGGACTTTAATAGGGTAAATTCACTGCCCCCCCCCCAAAAAAAAATCTTGAATTACATTTTGCTATTTGGTAAGGCTTCACAGTTAGCTGTTTTTCTGTCTCACTCTATGCCTTGTGTTTTAATTAACTGACAATTTCACAGGCTGACATCACAAAGCTTACAGGAGTGCCTGAAGAGCACATCAAGCCCCGCCGTGTGCTCATCAAGAAGCCCACCAAGAACGCCATGCAGTCGGGCACCAACAATCTGCACAAGTGAGCCTTGTTCCTTAGTGCCCGATTTATAATTTGCAGCCCCCGCAAAAATGTTGAGAAAAAACTTAGATCTGGATCTCACCAATAGAGGCAATCAGTAAAGGGGAGCTTCAGTTTGGGACCTCAGTCACTTTTTTACTTGGCTCATCTTTTACTACATATTCCCTATGATGAAAGAATGCATCTTGCAATAAAATAAACTATTTTGTCCCTGCACTGTAATGCATTTCCTGCTATATCAAGTTTACTGAAGATGAATACCCTCCTATTTTTGTTGTGGTAACTGGCAATAATTCTTTGTTGTCTGGATTTGGGGATCTGGAAGAGGTATACCGTATACTTAATTATTTTTTTTACATGATTCTACATTGCATTTTTTTTATTTTGTGTTATCGAGTATTTGAGCGTACAAATTATCATGAGAACCAATTATATTTTGGCAATTGGAGTCAAGTTAACCCACTAGAAATTGGAATTATTTTCTTTAAAGATCCTATAGCCTATGTAGCTTTTTATATTATTGGTAAGATAGAACCATTAGTGATGATTACTGTTCCATTTATTTCAGGGTTTCTTGAACTTTTTTTTTATTGCACCCCACTTGCAGGCGCCATGAAGTTGCAGCGTCTAATTAATAATAATTAGTTGAACCTTCTAATTAATTGCTAATATTAAGCATTTTCATCTTTTAATTTTATTTTATGTGTACACAATTAGTGCATTCATTAATTTTACTGTTCTAATTCAACACCAGGCCAATGTGACCAGATGGAAGGCATGTGACAACAATTGCTAAACCTTGCCATATCATCTTGTGTGAAGTAGTAAAAATGTTTATCAAATAAATACACTTAAAAATGATCCAAGACCATGAAAGCGTTCACATGCACCTACAAGGTCCTCACATGTCACTAGTGGCACACGTATCACACTTAGGGAACCCTTTATAAATTAAATAATTAGTGGGCCCTTATATGCTGGCTAATATTGTACTCTGAGCAGAGTGGATATATTCAGAGAATTAAGAAGCTCTTACTAGTAAGGTAATATTGTGTACTGTGCAGGTGGGTGATGACGTTTGACACCAAGGAGCGTTGGGAAAACCCACTCATGGGCTGGGCTTCAACTGCAGACCCTCTATCAAACCTTGAGGTAAAATTTTGATTGTTACATGGGATGTGGTAGCTGTCAATAAACTTATTATGTGGTCTTTTCATAAGAGACATTAGCTGATCAAAGGCAACATGTTAAATTTTATATTGCTATTCACTTTCAAGTCAATAAGCCCATGGCCAATTGGTTTTAACCACCCTGATTAGTGCTGCGAGCTGGGGGTTCCAAACTCGCAACTATTTGTGAAAATTCTCCTTAAGATTGGCAAGGTGGCTGGTTCGCTAAGAATGGGCGACTGGAAAATGTGGCCTCATCAAAGCCTTTCCCACCATTCTATAATAATATATTTCGCCTTCAATTTCATCTTAATTCTTAACACAATCATTGATGCTGTTGTTAACAATCATATTTGTATTCGTTCTTGTGTGAATATGCTGGCATCAACCAATTCTTATGCTGGTATTTCTACACAATATTTTTATACATACACAAAACCAAGAAAATTTTCAAGATAAAGCTCTTAAGAAGTAATTAATTTATGATACTGTTGTCTTTTTATTATCCTTTGCCCGGTTTGCAATATTAATTTGAAATACTTGTCAGGTGGAGTTTGCAAGCAAGGAAGATGCGATCGTGTTCTGCGAGAAGAACGGCTGGCAGTGGGCGGTACAGGAGCCTCCTCAGAAGCCTCCCAGGGCCAAGAGTTATGCTGATAACTTTTCCTGGAATAAACGCACGCGAAGATCTACCAAATAATTTAGTAAATGAGGACCAGGCCTTGAATGATTACAAGCGATTCAGTACTAACATGATGGACGTCTAGAAATAATTGTTTAACCTCTGGCAGTACATACTGTTCCTTCTTCATGAAATCTGATATATTTATTTCTTATTTTTACTTTAGTTTTGAATAGTTGCTTGTATTTTCCATAGAGCGTCTAACTCAGATTCAAAATTTATCACGGTATAAGTTATGTAGATTATCTTGCAAGGATAGCCAATCTCATTCAGAAAGCAATACCTACCATCTTATCTTTATACCATTCGCAGTGCTCAGAGTTTTACTACACAAACTAGGTATTGAACTGAATTGAGTGTTGCCTAATAATTGTTACTTTACTTAACTTTATTGCTCTTCTATTTGAAATGAAATAAACTTTGTAATAGATAGCTGAAGTCGGTGACAACTCACGTAGGATACAAGCAAAATTTTATTAAACAAATTTATATGTACACTTTATTTATCAATCATCTTCCAAGTTTCAAACTACATTATTTCAGTTAAATGGGAAACTTAATAGAGGTGTGAAGCTTGTATAGTATAATATATGATTGTATTATAAACATTTAAAGTCTTTAATCATTTGTCATTGCCTTCATCAGCAATCTTTGAATGGTAAATTAATTTTTTTTGTGTTCTGGTAGTTCAGCAACACATGTGATTGCTGGAGAATGAGACTTCAATTCAGCTAACCACTTGTAATAGATTGTAAATTCTAACTTGAAATAATCATGATTCTGTGCCTTCATTCTGTTAAAAATTGAAACCTGAAACAACTTGAAATGCGTTACTGTACACAATTTTATTGAAGCTACATTAATTATGAGGCTACACATATATTTTAGCTCTGACATGCAATTTGCAGATGTCATTATTGACATTACTTCATAGTCAGAGGCGGAAAGCAAGTAAACTGTAATCGTTCCTACCAGGAATGGTAACAATGATAATGATTTTACGCTCTTTAGCATCCTTAGAGTTGTACACTAGGCAATCCCGAGGCAATACACCGGAAACGCTTGGTTCTTCACCATTTAATGGCGCAGCTCACATAGCGTAGTAGCTCCTCACTGCTCTCTGAGACATGTCAATTATGCAACCACAATGATCAAATTCAGAGCCGTGATCAAAACTCTTTGAAAAAATATTTATTCTACACAAAGAAAATATTTACTCTCAATGGCTGCTATTTGCACCTGGATATTTGTTTGTAAAGTCCATTGAAGAAATGCTCATTGAACGTTTTCAAATAGATACAATGGCTAGCTATAGCGGAGACAAAAAAATTAAACTGGTGTGAAACAATGTTTTTTAAATAAATGAGCAAATGGTACAAATGACTAGTTAACTTGACGTCAAACATTAAGAGTCTCCTGGACTTCTTCACACTTGTGACTTCCATCGCAGAAGGGAGCATTGTTGGTCTGTTTGCATGTACAGAGCCACATGAAGCCGTCTTCTGGGGCGCGGAAAGAAAGGGGGCGCAGTTTAATCTTGAGCACGGGGATGTGGTGGGTTCCGTCACACAGAGGCTGTAGAATGTAGAGTGATTAAATTTGTGTCAGACGATTTATCAATGAATGTAAGTGGCCAAAATGCGACAACTGGATGCGCAGGCAAGTGATTTAGTTGAGGTTTAAGAGGAGCTGTAATGATTAAAAATATTAGAATTATATAAGTTTCACTCAATAATACTAATATAAGTCAGTACATGTAACGATATCAAGAATGTCATTAATTTAGTAATAAATTTATGGAACTATAATCATGATTAGTAAAATAACCATTACAAACGATTCAAATTATATACCTAGATGTTTATGAAGGTTTGAGTATTTGATTAATCCATGTTTATATGCAAAAAAAAAACAGAAAATAAATATATATTTTTTAATAACAATAGGAAATATAGTAATACCTGATGTTTGCTTTGTCCACAGGCACACCAATGATAAAGCTTGCCCTTCTCTACTTTCAATTTGAAAGGAAGTTTGCCAGCAACTTTGCCTTTTTCTTTCTGGTAAAAGTTCAGCTGCCACTTTTTCTCAAGAAGCTCTGGGGGCCCTTTTGACCCCAGCAGGTCTGCATAGCGTCTTAAACTTGCACTGCAGGTTTTAGTGGAAACCTGCAAAGAATACAAGCAATATATTTAGACAATCCCTTTAACAATTTGTTATTTTAGTACCGGCTAAAATTACTCCATGATTTGAAGCTCGATGTCTGTTTTATCACTCTTATGTAAAATAACAGTGCAATTTGATTTTAGATTATTCATTGTTTATTGTTATTTTATTTATTTATCTAGAATAAAATATTGTTATTTTATTCTAGATGTGAGAAATCAATTTGGTCAACAAACAGGCTACAAAATATATGACAAAAATTTGGTAATTCTACTGGAAATTTAGTAGACTGAGTTTGAAAGGCTTGTTAAACTTTTTGCGAGTCACATTTCTAGAGTCCAAATCTTTGTCAGACTTCCTTCACATCTATAATTACTTGAAACTATGCACCACCTTCAAATAAATATTGTGGGTGAAAACAATCAGTTCTCAAAGTTGATTCACAAAAAAACGTGGCAAAAATAATTAATTTTTCTTATTTTTCATTAAAGAAATTATAAAAAGGCCATAGAAACAGGTAAAATTGGCCAGATTCACAGCTTTTTTTGTAGAATTTTTTACTTCAGACCTGATGGAGCTTTAAATAGATATATAACCTGCCAATCTGAAATATTGGACAGAATTTTCTAAAAATTGTTGGTAAAAATGATTGTTTTATACCAACGTGAAAAAATTGGGCAGTAGCCACCCATGAATTGGACAAAAATGCCCCTGATTCTGACTAAATTCACCCTATTCTATGGCTTTTTTTCAATTTATTCAGTTAAAAATAGGAAAATTTGCCTATTTTCACACTTGTATGGAATTTTCCTACTTGAACTGAAAACTGAAATCTTGCAGCTCTAATATGACCTTTTTTGTTTATATTTGAAATTTTGAGTCTAGAGAGTGCACTTTAGTTAACAATTTGATAGGATTACTTCATCTAGCCGAATCTCAAGGCTCCAAAAATGGCAGGAAAGCTCTAGTTGTGGGCTTATGGCTCTTACATGTAAAATTGGGCAAGAGCCACCCGTGAATTGGCAAAAACACCAACAAATCTGGCTAATTTTACCCGTTTCTATGGCCTTTTCAAACTTATTTCAGTTAAAAATATGAAAAACTGCCTATTTCCACATGCAATTTAAATAATATGCATTTAAAAATTACTTTTTAAAGGCAACACTTCTAAAGAAGCCTTTGTCTCAGAAGTTACACATGTACAATGAATTTCTTACTTTATTTGAAATATTTTTAATTTTTTAATATATGTAGAATTTTGTAAATTTTTAAATTATTTATTCTGTCTCTTGATTCATGCTATGTCTCTGACCTAGGGTGCAGAGGGTGAAAGCAGCATCACCAAGATATGAATTTTTAGCCCAAAGTGTCACCAGCCATTTTCAAGATCCGTTGCCAGGTAATTTTTAATAAGAAAGTGCTACAAGTAACTTTGATAGTAGTATATCCCTTACTCTCCATGAACTGGAACACTTACACACATTGCAACTGATTTCCAGACAAGCTTCACTGCATCCTGATCCATCCAGCGTACCGGAAACCTTACTGTGTGCGTTTGCAGTCTTTCAGATTTACAGTAATTTCTAATATGCAATAATTTTGTCAGCAAGATCTTCAGAAGGCATAAATTTTGCTGCTGATGCGTTGCCAAATATCTTTTGATATTCACCCACTTTCTGCACCCTGGTCTTTGACTTTGCAAAAGTGTATAAAATTTCAGATTGATTGGACAGGTAAAAGTGTGTTAAATATTGATTATAAGATTTGTAGCAGACAAACGACAAGAAGAGAAGTTAATGAATAGTGTTGTAATAATAAAAAATCAGCCATGAAATGGTCATTCATGGCAAATTTAATGAGATTTCTGCCTGATATTCCAAATAGATTGCAACTGGGAAGGTAGAAATATGCCACATCATTGATACCAGTTTTTACTGTTGATTTTTGAAAGTCAGTCATAAAATGATTACTTGTGACTGCAATTTTAGAAAACTTCTGCATGATCTTGAAAATTGGATTTTACAGTTGATTTTTGATAATTATGCATAATGTAAAAGTTTCTGTTTATTTTTTCAGCCTAACTTTCTTATTACAGAAATATAAATGGAACTGGTCCTCTATGGGAGATTTTATAAACTTGCATGTAAAAATATGCTGTTTTTCTTATTTTTACTATAGAAATTGGGGAAGGGCCAAAAGAATGGATGAAATCAGCTAAATTCCACACTCAGGAAGATGTATATAAACGGGGAAATTTCCTGCGCGTAAATAGTTTTTTGAAGCCCTAGGTCAGCTCAGTTCACGCAAAACAATCTAGTTATATTTTCTTCGCGCAGGCGTTCGCGCAAATCCCGGTCATCAATTCCACGCCGCGCAGCACTCGGCGTGGGCCGCGGAGCCGTCCGACACAGTTCTGATTTAGACACAGTTTTCATCTGAATGGCATGGCGACATCATCTGTAGATTTCAACTTTTCAAGTAACGCTGAACCAGCGTTGCCAGATGGTATATTTATATACCAGATTTTACAAATCTGGTATTTTCAGAGGGTGTCTGGTATGAATATTTTAGATCTGGTATATATGCCTAAATCTGGTATTTTTCTGGTATTTTCTGACTTACAGCAAATTGACTGCATTAAGTTCCACCTCTGAAGTTTGAACTTCCTCCAGCATAGGCGTGGATTATATTATTATTTATATAGATTGCCTTCAGAGCGGCATGATTAGAGCTTTCCCGCCATTTTTGGAACTGCATGTTTACCAAAGTTTTCATGTCAACCGGAACTCGAACACCACAGCAGAGAGTATTTTATGCAGCTAATGAATTTCGCAAACTTTGCTGGAAAAGAGATTATTGAATTTCAGAAAAAAGGCGGGATAATTCAATGAAGGGTGGTGGCAGAACTGCAATCTTGATACTCTATTGCGATTCGTGCTATGATAACCTACGTAACAATTTTCATATGATAGTTATAATTTTTGCACATTCAAAGTACACATGACATAACATAATGCACCCAGATTTGGAAACCATAATTGCTCAAATGAAGGGGAGCGCAGCCCTACACCACAAATTTAGCTCATAAACAAGCCCTAGCGTCAACGCCTACCCTATAATGCAATAACTAAACTCAGCTCACACCCAAGAAGCTGTAGGTAACTGAGTAATCTCCCCACACCAACTTTAAGCAACACCTACCTCACTCCGCAGCCTGCTGAATCAAATTGTCAATTGTCAACAGGTCCTACTTCACAGACTTTTACCCCATACTATCACTTCTTACACACGCCGTAAGCCTTAAGGCCGCAGACCACGCCAGATCACCGTAAACCTGCTCTGCTATTTGCAGGACTGGCATAATCCCGCTGCACTCCACGGGCAGAAGCGCAAACCGCCGTCCCTATAACGCCATGCCCCGGCTCTCCCCCTTCCCAGCCATAAGGCTTTCTTCAATTGCTGATCAGTTGTGCGCCAGGTTAGGTTAGGTCCCTCCATCGCGCCAGGCGCATTACTGATCGGCAACGAGAAAAGCCTTCTGCTGGCTGCGAAGGGGGAGAGCCGGGGCATGGCGTTATAGGGATGGCGGTTTGCGCTTCTGCCTGTGGAGTAGAGCGCCATGAAGCAGTGGCTGTGACGTAATGGCGCTGTTATGGCGGGCGCTTATTTTCAAAAGTTACGAACACTCCAGGCTGTGTTTAACCCATTAACGACGAACGGGAACATTTGTGCCCAGCTAATAAAAATGGCTGTAAAAGTAAAGACATTGCATTTAGCTATTTTCTGTTAATAAGGTGTGTTCTCTGAAGGTTCAGAACACGTACGGAACATGTTTTGTTTCTCTGCCACCAGGCATTCATGCGTAGTAGCCGGCTGACCTTGACCAAAAGAGAGGTGTATGAAACATGGCTCTACCACGCCTGAGAAAAACGTATGTACCTCTATTACTGAAAACATTTTACTACATCCAATGATTGGAATTTGTAGCTGGAAAACGCACCAATTACATATAATTCACAAATGATCAATAATGTTGATAATATTGAATGCATATAGTAAAATGTAAATTTTGGTAACAAATGTGCCCGTTAGGATATAAAATAAAGATTTTGTCCTACACGAAAGTTGTGGCACTTTCTCTTATATGATGTGCGTAGATTTATTTTAATTGCTTTCCCGTTGTGTCGTACGATATTATAATGAGAAGTTAACAGATGTTTGCTATTCTGTAGCTCCTAAATACATGTTTAGAAAACTATTCATGATAATATTGACCCGTTTATATGTAAATTCAAATATGCCTTATAATAAATTGTCAGCAACTAGAAATCATTGTAACGAGTTATGCGTTATATTGCAAGAAGTGACTTGAGTGATATTTTCAAACATTGAAATAATCTTATTAGATGTTTCTTTCTTCAGGTTGACCCTGGACGAGGTGTGACAAATACTTCAGGAATAATCTGATGATGATAGTGATTTTGAAATCAATGTTGCAATCGAGCCTCCCATTGAAGAAGCAGCTGCTGGTACTGACTGCGACTCTGATGCCTCCGACAGTGAAGTTATATGCAATCCCAATCATTTACCATGAAGAAACTTACTTTCCGAAGTACTAACTGACAAAATAGATCATCAAACATCGTCTCCTGATGGTCAGCAGAGGAAGAAGAAACTCAGAAAATAGAAGGTGGTTTGGCACAGAGACGAAAGAAAAGTTATTGATAGTGTTGGAGATTATGAAAAGCAAACAAAGGAACAACAAGTAGTGAATGAGAGTATTTTGAAATGCATCGGACATTTATCGGAGAGTATCGGATCATAAATGCTCAAGTGGTAAATGCTTGGCGTCAGTGCAGACGAATACATGCTGACATGAGCCTACTAGACATTTCCAGGAACTTAGTTTTAGCCACATAGAAGGCCTATGGAAAAACCAGAAAAGCAACAGGTCATAAATGCAGTACTGGTAGTGCAGAAGAAAGTGTGCAGTACAACGGAAAAGGCCATGGGACTGCAAGAGGAGAGCATTCATGCAGTAGATGCAAGCAGTATCAGGGCAGAACACCTCACATATGCAAGATGCGCAATTAGGTTCCCTTGCATCCTGACTGCATGGAAAAATAACACACTAAGCCATAGATACTCTACTACTTAGCTTTTGAGAAATAAAAAGGAGTCTGTATGCATTGAGCTAACAAAGGACTATATTTATAGGTTTATTACAATTTCATCTAAAATCATGATTTCATAGCCGAATGGGCACATATGTTCCCAAGCTGTATTTTTCATATTTTCAACTAAATTCCCGTTTTGAGTGTTTCAGTTGTATATTGACATCATAAAGAGTCATTTGGCATGAAAAATTCTGAAAATTTCTCCTTACATAATTCTCGGCATTAATGGGTTAATACAAGCACACAACAGTTTGCCTATTTGCCCACGGCTGTTGCTTCGGCAGCTTGATGTTATCTGGCTGATTGATTCATTTCTAGAAAAGGAAATGGCACCAATGGCTTTAGGCACTTAATCACACAGGCTAATATGCCCTCTAGCGTGATTACAAGCGGATAGGAATAGATATTGAATTGTGGGCAAGGGCTATGCAGGGGTCTATGCTGCATCCCAAATGAAGCAAAAATAAACGACAGACCATTGACTTATCTTGCAAATATATATATATATATATATTCATATTTTATATCACATATTATAATTACACTCTGTAATTATGCCATATTGACCTAATTTGTATAGGGTAGTCCATTTATGCACATTGTTATTAGTTATTGATTGTGTCAATTTTGCCGGCCAGGAGGATGTCAGGAATGTAGTCCCAACATTGGCATGCAGCCTGCAGGATCGTACTGTTGACGTACAGGTTCATACCCTACTTGCCGCAACCCACACTCAGGATGATGTATGTTTTCGGTGAATTTTCCCGCTCATTTTCACTTTTTTTAAGCTATTGCTGTGCACAGTTGGCGCAATCCACACTCAGGATGATGTATGTTTTCGGTGAATTTTCCCGCTCATTTTCACTTTTTTTAAGCTATTGCTGTGCACAGTTGGCGCAATGTAATGAAAATTGATTATCTTCGCGCACGTGTTCGCGCAATCCCGGCCATCAATTCTACGTCAGTTTGTGGAGGAACAGACGTAATACTCAGTACAGTATGCCTTTAATTATCTTTCAATAATATATGATTTTTCTTGATACGGAAATTTGGCAAATGAGAAATCTAGAACTTTATTTTAGAAGAAATTTTCTCCAAAGTCATATGGCAACACTGAACACCATCTGTTTACATTTTGTATGTATAACAGCCGCAGTTTACGTTTACCGTACGTTCTGTATCCGACAAGGCGGACAAGCGGAAGAGTCAGAAGTAACCCGGACATGTCTTACATTTTATTATTGTCAGTTCGACTCGCGTAGTCAATATATTCGCGTATATTGTCAACTAAAATAGTAGAACTATTTTGACTAAAATAGTAGAACTATTTTAGCTTTCTAAAGTACGGCGCACGGCGCATTTTTTTACCAGCATAGTACGGCGTACCGCGCAGGTCGTTAAAATGACAAAATAAATTCCCGCGCACCTGGCACATCTTCCTGACCATGGGCTGCAACCAGTCCAGTCATTCATTAGAAGGCACCAATGGCACATCTAAAGCCATGTTGCCTTCTTTAGTCCTGTAATTCATGTCCAATTGAATTGTGATCTATGAATGAATATTCACTTATTCAGTACTGTGCTGACACTTAGAACCTGAGTCCTGAGTTGACGCGTGAGCAATCTAGTTAACTCATATCCAACCACCAACCACAACACAATGCGGATACACTTGTATGTACGGTCAATGTGATTACGTAATTTGCGTTGCCACGTGTCCATATTTAAACTATTTTAGCTTTCTATAAGTACGGCGCACGGCACATTTTTTTACCGGCATAGTACAGCACACCACGCAGGTTGTTGAAATGATAATATAAATTCCTGCACACCTGGCACATCTTCCTGACCATGGGCTAAATTCATGGGTGTGTTTGCCCTAATCACAGGTTGGCTTCTGCCCTATTTTCTAGTTAGGGCAAAAGGGTTTAAGCCTTAAGGAACTAGTAAAATTCTTCATTATCATAGTCATTTTTGTCTCACTTACAATTTCACAATCACAAATGCCTTTAGTAAGTTGTCAAGCTGGAGCCTGGATAAGCCAGCTGTTTTAGTTTTATTATTTTCATGAAAAACAAGCAGAGAAAAAAAAGCAAATTTGCACTGTAATCTGTACAAAATAAACATTAAAGTTTGTTGTAATATAATTCATACAAAAAATGATATAATATTTTAAAAGTAATGTGTAAAATCCCAAAAAAATATACCTATTAACAGAAAATCATGAGGTGATGAGGATTTTGAAAGGCACAGAAATAAATGTATAAATGTTTTCCCATAGAGTTAAGCCTTCAGAGTTTAGGCATTACTGCATTAGCCACCAATTCAACTGAAAGTAATTTACATTTAGTCCTTGTCCTCTTTAGTCTTCACTGACTAGCCTTTACTATAGGCTAATACTATCTGGGGAACAACAAACAAGACATGTTAATTTACCTCTAAAACCTGACGTTCAAGAGTAGAAAAAGACTTGTATAAATTAATCATCTTCATGATAATAACGAAGCAAAATAAGTTGACGAATAATAAGCACTCAACAGGTACAGGGTTTTAACGATAGTCATTAATAGCAAAATTAGGTTTATATGTACGGCACGGACTCTAGCGACTCGCATCCGTTCTGCCGGAATATTTGGTAAAGTTTGAAATTTAAAATAAAAAAGTATATTGAAAATTTATCGATTTCCAAAATAAGGTAAAACTACCATGATAATTTCCAATTTCAAATTTTTCACGAATTTCAAAATCGAAAATATTTCAACAAGTTCTAATCATGACATTCAATAAATAATCGTGATCAATGTTTTGCAGCTTCTCAGTGAGCTTTGTGAGTAAAATTCTGTAGTAGGCATTGTTCAGGGAGAATGAGTAATAATTGTGTTACTGGAAAAGAAACTGGATTAGACATTTACAGAAGAACATTTATGCTGCCATCGTCTATAACTCTATATGTGTTCTATTTACTTTAACCTCGGACGGCGCCATAAGGAGCTGTAATTATTTTGCTTATTCAGTTATTTAGTTTGTACTTGGTAGATGCCATCTTGCTTGTAAATGGAACGAAGGAGTATATTGTGAAGTTTCTTTGTTGATGGATAATTATTTGGATGTTTATGATCGAAATTCAAAATTTAATTTGTTCGGAATTGTTCCACGGGCCACTGGCAGTTTGGGCCATTGGCAGCCTATGCTAAGCCTAAAGCCTCACCAGTCACCTGTCACCATAGGTTTGCCGTTTGCCAATGTCAAATTGGCAAATTGCTAGTGGCTACAGTACCGGTAAGTGGCAGGTGATGGGAGGCTAGGATGGGTGGTCAATAAGGATTAAGGATTAGCCTAGGCCCTATTGCCTATGAGCTATGACTTCTGACTATTGTTTATCATTGCTTCAAAATATGTTCAACAGTTCAAGATCTGTAATCATGTTACAATTATCATTATGTATGTGTAGCTACCTATGACAATTGACAAATCCAACTGGTTTTCAGAAGATAGCCTAGGTACCCTTTATTGAGCCTGACAGCTGAAATATCCATGTGGCTGATGTGGCCAATGGCCATGCCCTTTGCCAAATTGCCTATGGTGCCAGCCTATCTCCCTATCAGAGTAATAATCAGACTGCATTAGTAGGAGCAGGATGGAATCCTAATTTCGAAGGTTCATATATTATTTTGATCCACCAAGACCACTTTTTCTACCCAACATCGTTAGGCTATTTGAGGCAAAAAAATGAACTTTTTTAAAGGCTTAAAATATGTACGCTAACTTGCTCAGTTTCTATAAAGTACGTAATCACTTGGAAGTTGTATGCCTGCACCTTTCACTCAACAATTAAAATTAGACTTATAAAAAGTATTAGTTAGTTAAAAATTTGTCTCTTAAGTTGACCGCAATGAACTAAACTTCATTAAGTAATCATTAGGCAGAGTTTTCCATCATGCACACTAAACACGCATTCAGAGTTCAGACGAGCAGAACTACATAGGGTAAACGCGGTATATTCCGACACATTAAGGACGCATCGAGAAATGAAAAACTATAAAAAAACTTATGCGTTACGTAAGCTCTGTTGCCTTCACATGACTCTCGAAACACTTCACTACGCGCCAGCAACGATGAAACGTCACAAAATGTTGCCATATTTATTAAAAAGCCTTTAGAATGGAAACCTACCAAATCCCTATATTCCGTCACTTTGTGTGGCAATATTCAACACGTGGTGAGTCGTATTGCGCCAGCGCTTCAAATTTAACTGATACGTATTGCCGACTTACATCCACGTGTTCGAATTCCGTTTGCTGTGTGAGCTGTATTGGGATACAACACGGCTTTGAATTAGAACACTAACGAATATTGAACACTACTTAATTACGTTTTAATTAACAGCTATTAGGCTTTTAATTAAGCAAATTTCAATTTTTGTACAAAGCTTTGAACGATCTGTGTGTGTCCAATTCAAGTTGTGTCAGAATTAGTTTTCATGTGTCTAAATCTAACATCTCAACTTAATCATCTATTAATTTATTTACGACTTGAAATCAGCAAATACAAGTATACTTAAAGGATTCCTAATATATTCACAGACGTATTTAAAAGTCTCAATTTCTCAAACCATAATATTCTTCCTATAAAAACAGTTATTCACTATTTGGTAGAGCCATGTCAACTGTCAAATTTGACACATTTTTCGATTATCTCACCACGTGGCATGCATTGTCTCTCTTTGGATCTCAATATTTTCCCACTAGATGGC